ATGCAATTAAAGTCTTCCTTTCTGTGATCAGTGATATTGAAGACTGGCAAGGACAGTCATCTTTCTTCTGTAAGTAGCTCTTTTATTGTTTTGTGTGCTGGTTTCATCCTTAATGTAGTAGTGCATGCAATTAAAGTCTTCCTTTCTGTGATCAGTGATATTGAAGACTGGCAAGGACAGTCATCTTCCTTCTGTAAGTAACTCTTTTATTGTTTTGTGTACTTATTTTAATCTTATTTAAATAGTAAGTGCACAAAATAATAAATTTCCTTTTTTAATATCTTCTTTTTGTAGATCATTCATTGGGGCAAATAATTCAGTGACATTGACTTGGCCACTCCCACCCAGTCACATGACTGCTGAGCCACTCCCACCTGGTCACATGACTGCAGAGCCACTCCCACCTGGTCACATGATCACCGAGCCACTCCTATTCAGTCACATGACTGCCAAGCCACTCCCAACCAGTCACATGACCACTGAATCACTCCCACAAAATAGGCCACACCTACAGAGTAGGTTCTAAAAAATTTAGAAGCCCACCACTGGGTTTTACTTAATTTCAACCTCTGATTTCCTGCTGGCTTCCCAAAGATTTGTAGGAAGCCAGCAGGGAGGTTTGCAAATCATGGACATGTGGCCAAGACATGTTGCAATAGCTGGAAATCTGGCAAGGTTTCCAAATGCCCAGATCATGATTACGTAACTTTGATAATCAAAATTTCAAGGACTGCTTATAAGTGCCACTCATTCAGCATTGCCACAAGTTTGAATGATCACTGAACAAATGGCTGTTAAGCAGGACTAGCTGTAATTACACAAACATGATAAACACAAGTGTATTCTAGTTTGCAAAATATTCAGCAAAGCATTTAATATCAAGAAGTGCCTAAGCAAAGAGTTGTACCATTAAAAAAAAACCAGAAAATATATAGCGAAGGAGTAAGCATTCACTTGCAGTAAGCATTGCCACTAATTGATAAATTTTCCCTTGATTCATTATTGATTGATCAGATTTATTATATCAAAATATATTGTTACTTGAGCACCAAAAGTATACAAATGTTTTGATTACTTTCGTTCACAGAATTCAAAAGCATAAGTATTTATGTGACAAAATGATTTGCTTCTAAAAATCTGTAGATTCTCAGTCATCCTGGCTATGGTTGCCCAAAGGTGCTTTTTCAGGAGGCAACTGGACTTTCTTGTTTTTTCTTTTGAAGACATTTCACTTCTCTTCCACGCAACCTTTTCAGCTCTGACAAGATTCCTTTCTATACTACCCTGTCAGAGCTGAAGAAGCTTCTTGGATGAGAAATCAACCTTCAGTTGATTTCCAGTTGCCTCTTGAAAAAGCATCTTTGGGACATTTTTCTATGAATGTTCTTTGCTATGATCTGGATAATTTGTATGACTCTGACCTATGCCATTTATAATTTATTAAAGGATTGATCAAAATGGCATAATGTTCTCAGTAATTTCCCCCCTTAAATGCTTTCTCTGATTATTTTGGTTTATGACCATAAATTGAATAAATGAAAGGAAATACTTCTGTGCTGCTCTGCTATCCCAAACAGATACCCCTTCTTTTGTGAGCTTGTTTCCCTGCAAACAATGAAACAGAAGCTCGCAAAAGAAAAAGATCTTACCTATTGCTGCACTGTGGGTGTTGGGATGTCTCCTCCGGCAGGCCAGCTAGTCTTCAGGTCTCTGCTATGCATAAATGTCCGTGCATGTGCACATTTGTGCATGTCCATGCATGCACANAAGAATTTAATAGCTTTCTGCTCTGATGGTGCCAACATTATGCTTGGGAGAAAATCTGGAGTCAGCACCAGAATAGCTCAAGACTTCCCAAACATTGTAATCTGCCACTGCTTGAACCACAGCCTCCAACTTGTGCTGGATGATGCAATAAAAGAAATAAAACAAGTGAACCACTTCAAGATCTTCCTTGATAAGGTACACATCACTTTCCAGAAATCCTGCAAGAGCCAGAATGACCTTTTCCAAATCTCTGAACAACTGGACATTGATTGGCAGAGTTTTGGGACCAAGATGGGCTCCCTGTAGTTTAAGATCAACCATAGCTGTGTGGTGTGCTTATCCAGCGCTACATCAGTTTTTTCTGGGCAATGAAAGATTCCCAGGCATGGTTTCCATTTTGAAATTTTAAATTTTTTGAACGATTTAGCCCTCATGATCGATATTCTAAATGAGATTTCTCTTCTGTCAAATGCCCTGCAGGGGAGAAACACAGATATCATCAAGGCCAGAAAATTAGTATTGCGATCAATTAAAGCACTTGAAATGCTTCGACGGGGAAAAGGCCCATATGAAAAAAAAAGTTGATGCAATGCTAGCTTCAGAAGCCTTCAAAAACATAAAATTAGTTCCAAATTAACCATTTGTTGCCCTTCCCTGTGAAAACCTTTTGGCATGCATCACCACCAATTTGAATAAAAGACTGATGGACTACGACCATCTAAAAACAGTTAGCCAATTGCCAGATGCAAACAAATTACACTTTATCACATATTTGGAGCCGGATTATTGGAACATTGAAGATGTAGTTGTTCCATGGGCAGAAGCAGAGGCAGCATTGATTGAATTTGGTGAAATTTTAAATTATGAAATTGATTTGAATGACTACATAGCTTTTTTGGAAAATGTTATCAAGGATCCAAAGACCTACAAAATTCCTGATAGTATCAAAAAAGCTAGAGATATTGTCAGGACAATTTCTGTTAGTTCAGCAGAGGCAGAAAGGGGGTTCTCAAAAATGAACCTCATATGTTCAGAGCAAAGAACCCTCCTAATTGTTCCAAACATTAGTAATCTGATGATGATAAGCATTGTTGGCATGCCTGTTGAGAGATGGGACCCAATTCCTGCAGTGAAAAAGTGGCTCAGAACATATCATTACATGGCTGATGATCCAAATAAAGACCAAGAAAAGTGCAACTGAGGAGTCTGGAAGCCTAAGAACAATCTGGAAATCTCTTCAACTACAAAACTAATAGCACAAGTAAATACTTGAGTGTATCTCTTTCATTGTGTTATTCTTATGTACATGCAATTAAAGTCCTTTCTGTGTCTGTTCTTTGTGCAGGTTATTGGAGCAAGGTGATGAGGTGGTGGTGTAGAAGACCAGCAAGGCAGTCATCTTTCCTCTGTAAGTAGCTGTTTTATTGTTTTGTGTGCTGATTTCATCCTTAATGTAGTGCGTGCAAATTGAAGAGTTCATTTCTGTGTCTCTTCTTTGTGCAGGTTATTGGAGCAAGGTTGTGAGGTGGTGGTGTAGAAGACCAGCAAGGCAGTCATCTTTTCTCTGTAAGTAGCTGTTTTATTGTTTTGTGTGCTGATTTCATCCTTAATGTAGTGCGTGCAAATTGAAGAGTTCATTTCTGTGTCTCTTTGTGCAGGCCATTCATTAGAGCAAGTGTAGGCAGTTGTCTTTCCTCAGTAAGTAGCTGTTTTATTGTTTTGTGTGCTGGTTTCATCCTTAATGTACTGCATGCAAATTGAAGAGTTCATTTCTGTGTCTCTTTGTGCAGGCCATTCATTAGAGCAAGTGTAGGCAGTTGTCTTTCCTCAGTAAGTAGCTGTTTTATTGTTTTGTGTGCTGGTTTCATCCTTAATGTACTGCATGCAAATTGAAGAGTTCATTTCTGTGTCTCTTCTTTGCAGGCCATTCATTAGAGCAAGTGTAGGCAGTTGTCTTTCCTCAGTAAGTAGCTGTTTTATTGTTTTGTGTGCTGGTTTCATCCTTAATGTAGTAGTGCATGCAATTAA